GGATCGCCGGCGCGACGGGGGAGGTGGGAGGTGGTGGTGGTGGAGGAGGGGGTGGGGTCTGGGTGGAGGACGGCGCGCGGAGAGTGACGGCGGTGAGGGAAGCCCGCAAGGCGACGGTTTTGGAGTGACAGCGACAGCAGGGGAGGGGGAGGGGAGGGGAGGAGGAGCTCGGCGGCGGTGGCACGCCACGAGCGGGCCCCACCGGCCCAGCCCACACGGAATTCCGACGGGCTTTTGCTCGCATGTCTTGGGCGACTGAAGCGAGCCCATCCGTCTGTTCGGTTTTCTGTTCGGTTTTTTACTTTACTTTTTTCTTTCTCTTTTCTATTTTTTCTCCCCTTTTTGTTTTTTGTTCAATTTTTTTGTTTTCTCTGGTTTTCTTGATGGTTCTTTCTCCCCCCCTTTTTTTTCTGTTTATTTTTATTTTCCTTCTCTTTTTTGTGTATTATACAAAAAAAAGTTCATCGTGTGTTAAAACGATGCTCATCGCATATTTTTAAGAAAATGTTCACCGCATAATAAGAAAATGTTCAACATACCTGAAAAACATGCCCATTTTGCATTTCAAAATTGTTTAGCGTATATCAGAAAAATGTTCACTGTGTATTTAAAAATGTTCGGCGTATATAAATAAAAATATTTAATGTGTATTTAAAAATTGTGCAGCGTATATTACAAAAACGAAATCAATATATATTTTAAAAATCATCATATATTAAAATTGTTCATGTTTTCCAATTATTTTTTATTTTTTTCAAATTGTGTTCCCTTTTAAAGGTTTTGTTCTTATTTTCAAACATTATTCACAATTTTCAGAAATTCTGTTCACATTTTTTTCAAGAAGTATTTAAAAAAATGGAATCTGCAACTATGAGCTAGTACATAAATATTTAGCGTTGCGATTTAGCATGCAACCTTATCCAGATCGAGTGGCTACCAAGGATGCTCTATAACCATTTACTCTGTGGTGTTATCATTTTTTGGGGCTGCTGCTCTCTTCGTTGTACCGGAATATCACCCTCAATTGGTTGCTGCATCAGTGAATTGGCACCACCACCACTCTCCCCCCTATTGACCTATCACAACAGACTGGGTATGGTCAAGACTTTCAAATAATCCACTAAGATCGGGGTTTTTTCACCATAAAATGGTTCGGATTCCCTGAAGGTGACATCCATGCTCACAAAGGTCCTTTGTTCAGAAGGACTCCAACACTTATAGCCATGCTGCCCAGAAGAGTACCCAGTGAAGATACACTTGAGGGCCCGTGGATCCAATTTTCTCAAAGATGGCATGTGATCCCTAACAAAGCAAACACAACCGAA